ACCTGGTGTACAACGGGGACCTGGTGGAGTACGACGCGGACCACATGGCGCAGATCCAGCGGGTCCATGCCTTCCTCATGAACGACTGCCTGCTCGTGGCCACCGCGCTGCCCAACCGGCGCGGTGCCTACCGCTACGACGCCCTGTACCCCCTCGACGGGCTGGCTGTGGTCAACGTCAAGGACAACCCGCCCATGAAGGACATGTTCAAGCTGCTCATGTTCCCTGAGAGCCGCATCTTTCAGGCTGAAAACGCCAAGATCAAGAAGGAGTGGCTGGAGGTGCTCGAGGAGACCAAGCGCAACCGGGCCCTCAGCGAGAAGCGGCGCCTGGAGCAGGAGGCCCTGCCCCGGCCTGCCCCAACACCCCCCGAATCCACCAACCCCTTCGATGAGGATGAGGAGGAAGAGGAGGAGGAGGAGCCCTCTGCTGAGGAGGAGGTTGTAGACCTCTCACTTGAGTGGATCCAGGAGCTGCCTGAGGACCTGGATGTCTGCATTGCGCAGCGGGACTTCGAGGGGGCAGTGGACCTCTTGGATAAACTCAATGAGTACCTGGGGGACAAGCCTGTGAGCCAGCCCGTGAAGGAGCTGCGGGCCAAGGTCGACGAGCGGGTCCGGCAGCTCACAGACGTGCTGGTGTTCGAGCTGTCTCCAGACCGGTCGCTGCGAGGAGGGCCACGGGCCACCCGCCGAGCTGTGTCCCAGCTCATTCGCCTGGGACAGTCCACCAAGGCCTGTGAGCTCTTCCTGAAGAACCGGGCAGCCGCGGTGCAGACGGCCATCCGACAGCTGCGCATCGAGGGTGCCACCCTGCTCTACATCCACAAGCTCTGCCACGTCTTCTTCACCAGCCTTCTAGAGACGGCCAGAGAGTTTGAGACGGACTTCGCTGGCAACAACGGCTGCTACTCGGCCTTCGTTGTCTGGGCCCGCTCTTCCATGAGGATGTTTGTCGATGCCTTCAGTAAGCAAGTATTTGATAGCAAAGAGAGTTTGTCAACTGCGGCAGAGTGCGTCAAGGTAAGAGGATCCAAAGAGGGTGGTGGGACATGAAAGTCAAAACAAAGGCTGCAAAGCTTTAAATCATCTTTTCTAACCCGAGTTTAGCTATTGACTCTTAAGCAGGTCTCCAGAGATGTTTCCTGCGTTGAAAGGTTAATATTCATTTGAGGTTAGTTTGGGTTTTTTCAATTTAACAGAGGAAAGCGTTAAGATTAAAAATACACAGCAAGAAAAGCCTTGCCTTTATTGGAAATGCAAAATGTGTTTATTCTTAATTTGCCTTTAACCAGTAGGAGATCCTAAAGTTTAGATGAGTTATATTTGAATTATAAGTACATCGAGACTTTCTGTTTGTTTTCCAAGGGTGTCCTGGACTACATTTCCATATTTTTTGGCAAGACTAACTTTTTCCGGTTATGTGTGTGTGAGCGGGTTATAATGTAATTGTGCAGAGTATTTTTGCAGCCAGGGTTTATCTTTCAGTTATTACTTTCTCATTAATAAGGAGATTCTAAAAGCATTAGAAACATGTGAAGTATGAATAACACTTCTCACTTTTCTGACGATGATAAATTTGATAAACTGGTAAGACATAAAAGGGGCCTGCACACTAATAACATCCTTTGCTTTTCATTAATACCCAAGGTAGCTAAAGAGCACTGCAAGCAGCTTAGCGAGATTGGACTGGATCTCACCTTTATCATTCATGCCCTTCTGGTGAAGGATATCAAAGGCGCTTTACAGAGCTACAAGGATATCATCATTGAGGCCACCAAGCACCGCAACTCTGAGGAGATGTGGAGAAAGATGAACCTAATGACTCCAGAGGCACTGGGGAAGCTCAGGGAGGAGATGAGGAGCTGTGGGGTGGGCAATTTTGACCAATACACAGGTGATGACTGCTGGGTCAACCTTAGTTATACTGTAGTAGCTTTCACTAAGCAGACTATGGCCTTCTTGGAGGAAGCTTTAAAGCTTTACTTTCCAGAGCTGCATATGGTTCTTTTGGAGAGTCTCGTGGAAATCATCCTGGTGGCCGTCCAGCATGTTGATTACAGTTTACGGTGTGAACAGGACCCTGAGAAAAAGGCATTCATTAGGCAGAACGCCTCTTTCCTGTATGAAACTGTCCTTCCTGTTGTGGAAAAAAGATTTGAGGAAGGAGTTGGAAAGCCAGCCAAGCAGCTACAGGATCTGAGAAATGCTTCAAGATTGATGCGTGTAAATCCGGAAAGTACCACCTCTGTGGTGTGAAGTGGTCCTGTGGACAGGGTGTGGAAGCACTTACTGAAAATGTTGTACAGTGAATATATGAACTCAGTGGGGGGTTTTTTGAGTCCCTGAAAAATGCAGAACTGTTAGCTGCTGCATTGCAGAAGCTGAAGATTTAGAATCGATGCCTGCAAGCATGCAATGCTTTACTTGGTGGATGGGGGCTGGGAAAGTGAGAAGGTCGAGGTCACATGTCCTCGGATGGCATATCCTGTAAGAAGGGCTTTTGTAGTGTTTGTGATTTGGGAAATAACTGTAATACACATTTTTTGGCTAATTGTCTGTGAAAGTCTTAAATATATGTACAGCATATGACAGGAAAAGATCAATTCTCATCATGTCACTGTAGGAATTCTTTAAGGCAGAGTTCTGGTAGGAGGGGAAGTGCTGGAGCACTCCCAGTGCGTGGTATTTGGTGAGGCACGTCCACCATCCAGATGTGACTCAGCACTGCAGATAAATGACATGAGTTTGCACAGTGTGATTTGTGTGGTAACAATGCAGGCTTTTCCATTTTTGTAATATTCAGATTATCTTCATTTCAGAGGCAGATCTAAATTAAAAATGTTTTCAGTATAAGTTTTGGTGTTTGGGTGAAAGGGCTTCTTCTTTTAATGAGCTGGCCTGTCAACTTAAATTGCAGCTCTCTGAAAACAAACCTGCTGTCAGAACCATTTGTTCCCTTCAAGAGGAGTGAGAATAAACTGCTTCCCTTACTCTCTGTGTTCCTCTTCCATGTTTTCTCATGGATTTCATTGGGGTCACGTCCATTGAATGAAGTGTGCACTGTTTCTTGAGGTGCTGTCATAAATGCATTATGGGCCTTTGTCTGCTGATAGAAACCAGAGTGAAGAGGCCTAAATGTTCCTGAGACTTGCAAGGCAGGGAGAGAGTCTGAAGGTACTGTTTTGTTTGGAAGAGACAGAATGCTAGTTTTGCTGTACAGAAGCAGCACCTGATGAAGAGACTGTGTTGAGGCTTTTGGTAAATGATGTGAACTCCAAAATACAGAGTCTCGGGCAAATGCTATTGTTTCCTGTAATACAGCAATAACCAGTGAGAACTGCCTTTTTTGCAGAAATCACAAGAATTTGGTTTGGAACTCTGATGTTAATGGGGGAAGTTTATACAAATGCTTGTATGTTTGGATTGAGTGGTGGTGGCCGTCTGGTGCAGTATATGTCTGTGAAAATAAAATAAGCCAAGTCTTGTGTCAAGGCTGGCTTTAGAAAGCTGTCAGCATAAACTTCTGAGCTGGGTAAACTTCTTCCCCTTTGGTACAAACTTTCTTATTTGTGAGAAAATCATGTTACAGCTAAATAACCTTGTACTAGTCCCTCAGTAAGTGTTCTTTACTGTAATAATTGAGTATCCTGTTCCTCTAGCACTTTTGAATTAAAGCTTTTGCAATTTGTATTAATGAATGCCTTGTGACTGCCCGAACAAACAACAGATGTCACTAGTAAAACATTCTGCATAACTGCTTATACTGGAGCTTCTTCATTTCTGCCTATTTTCACAGTACTAGTTCAATGCAGTTTTCACTTCATGGCTGGTTTTTGTTCTCTTGCTCTTTGAATGCCTTTTGAACTGTCAGATTTTGCAAAGCATCCTGCTGCCGCTGCTCACTTGCTTTTCAGTGCGTGAGCCTTTTGCTAGCAAATCATGGAAGTCATACAAAATGTTTCTAAAGGGTAACTAAACTCATTGCTCCTAGCTGAAACTGATTGAAACCCACTGAAATAGCTCTAGTTTTGTTTTAAAGGACAGGGACAGTGAGAGTTAGAACTTATATGAACATATTATGTCCAAGAGAGAGCCCTATGGGTTATTTCACTAGTGAACTATTTTTGATACCATAACCTAGTGAAGTATAGCAAAGTGATACAATCCCTGTCATCTGTTGAAAGTGGGCCAAGATAGCAATCTGAGAAATACTTTCAAGTGGATTATAAGTGAGAGCTCTCTGTGGTGATGGGTGTTTTGGAAGAGAGGGAGAGGGAATGGCGCTTTTTTTTTTGAGAACACAGGTATATTTCATTATTTCCTTTGCAGCAGAAGAAAGCAAAATAAATACAGATGAACCTTTGTCTGTGAGTGTGTGTGTGTGTTTGTGTGTAAGAGAAGGGTAAGATCTGGGACTCAAGACTGATTATGGCAATGCTTGAGGATTTTACATAACAAGCTGAATTATAGCTTCCTGATTCCCAGCATTGGCATAAAATTGAATAGGAAAAGAGCCCTATTCATGCTTCTATTTCAAGCTGGTGCTTACTCTCATCAGAGGACAAAATGTAGAATGTAATTCTGCCACGTGCTCTGTTATGCCTCTGTCACTGAGCCCTTCATCAATCTATAGCACACAGAGCCTACTGATTTTGTCTTTGCTGTCATCCATGCAGCAGTGGGCTTACACTGATGTTGGTTTTAATGGATCAGGGAATCTAGCATTTCATTTGGGTCATCATATATTCTGTTCTTGTGCCTGTCGCAATTCAAACACCTGTGGGTTTGTATAAACTGCACTAGGTAGCATTGATATTTTGTAACTGGTGAATCTATTGAAGTCATAGTAAAAGAAAAACAATAATATGAAGAAATGGTGTGCAATTAAATGAAACATGCTTTGTTAGTTCAGTTAACAGAAAAAAATTATGATAACAGTTTTGTTGATTTGAGAAAGAACTAGGTTGTTGAGGTTTCTTTTCTTTACACAATGGCATATAAAATCTGGTTTCCTTAGGCTGCTGTGAAAAAATTGTGATGTGTAAAATGAAGATTTATTTTTTTTTAATTCAGATGAACTTATGTAAGGATTTAATGCAATAACTTTTCTGAACAATGAAGACCATGTATTAAAACTTCTAGCCATATGACAGTAGTGGTGTGTTTCTGGTTTTATTGCATCACCATCAGAAAGAGGACAGTTCACAGTTGGAGTCCACTTAATAAATTTCCAGTGAAGTCAAAGAGCTTCGGATCAGTCCTTTGTGAGGGAGATGTAGGCGGCAGCCAAGTGATGAAAGTCAGGTGATGTCACTTCAGTTACATTCTTACGAAGTCACTTGAGTGAAGTTGGAAGAAAATGTTTTCTCGACATTATATCTGATTCAAATTGAGTACAGGCTGTACTTTAGTCTAATGGGACTTCCGGTGTGTGAGGTATTATCAACACCAAGGCAGCGTAACCCTTAAGGGTTTGTTACCTTCCAGACATTATTTTGTGGCTGGAGTCAATCCATACTTAACTTGAATGCTGAATGTGCAGTACAACCCATCTTCTCACTAGATGGAGCTTTGTGCACTGAAACCTCAGCAAGCCATGGACAGGCATGGGCATTAAAGCTGTGCTGCCTTGCAGCGTGGCTTGGCATGTTTTGGTCGCATGCTGGGGGATGAAGATGCTGCAGTGAATGGTTCAGATGCTAGGCTCAGCTCTTTTTTCCTTCCTTGGTAGTGCTTTACTTCTGCATTTTCTAATTCTTGTACTGTTCATTTTTTAATTCTTCATGTTTTCTTTTCCTGCTGTGTTTCTTTACCATTGGCAGGCATTCTGCAGAGTATCTCGCCTTTCTACTTTTCCTAAAGGTATGTACTAACATGTGACTTTTCTTCTGCCTGAGAAACACTCTGCTAGACCTCAAGCCCCCGCAGAGATGTGAAAAGTCACTTGTCTCAGCTTCAGTTGTAAGATGTTCAGCTTAATGACTTCTCAAAGTCAAGCCTGTGTGTCCTCTTGTTGTTTTACTTCAATATTGGATTGAAATTCCTATGAGACTTCATGCTCACAGCACAGCTTTGCATTCCAGCACAGTAACGTGGAAGGTCCCCACCACCAATCTTATAACTTATACACTCATTATATTCCCTCTGCTGCACAACTCATACAATTTAATTGGGTTACCTTTTACTTAAAAATGTTAGTAGTTCTGCAGACTCTTCGGTATATTTTCTCTGAAGAAAATCAAATCCAGGATGGGACTTATCTGTTAAGCAGCTTTGTGAGCACAGGCTGTAGCCATATCTTTTTCCTCACACATTGAAGGATTGTGATATGAATTCAATCCCTACAAATTCTGAAAAGTAGTGGAGAAACATTGCAAACTGTGGGGAAAATAGGTTTACACTCTTTATCATTTCAAGGGAATGGATGACTGGAGTAATAGATCAGAATTTGATTGAGCCACCTTGGACACAGAGTTTTTACCTCTTGTGTATTTAAGAAACTTTGCTGATAAAGCTTTAGTGGCCTCAACATGCCCTGTAATACAGTTCTCAACTTCAGGGTTACAAGCTGAACTAGATTCTCTGCTACAGATGTGCTCTGTTTGACACACCAGAGAGAAAGTACTTGCAAGAGGCCTGGTCTGTGCTGACCTGCGAGCAGTATTACCCTTCCCAATGTGACTGATCAGGGCAGTTTTAAGGCAATTTCAGATCACCCTTCTGTGGCCCTGTGGTATTTATTCTCTCTCCCTCCCCATGCAGTAGCTGGATTCCTTTCAAGGGCCTGAGCATCCCACTTCCCACACAAGCAGAAGATAATACGAGAGGTTGGACAGAACCTGCTCCCCAAATTACTGGAAGTGAGCTGTGATGGGCAGGGTGACCAGCGGGGTTCCACAGGAACTCTGTGTTGGTGAGCATCACCTCGGCACAGGGAAAACAGGCACCCACTGTACAGGCAAGCAGAGAGGATTGCATTCAATTTGTTCTCATAGACCAGTACAAGAGCTAAAAGCAAGTATGAAAGCTGAGAAATTAATCTCCTCACGTTATGGCAGGAGCTGGGCTCTGAGGCATTGGCTTAGATTACTCAAAATATATTTGGCCCTGCAGCTGTTGGAAATCTTGTTCAGATGTGCTAATATGTTGACATGTGATTATTGAATGTGTTGCACTAGGAAGGTGAACCAGGGAGAAGAGCAGGTAATGCTAACTTCACTGCTGCTTGGGAAATCCTTGGAGATGCTTGGATTAATGATGATGTTAAGTTATTAAAGAAAAAAAAAAGCATACAGCTCATCAGCTAATTGCACCAACACACAGTTCTTTCTCTGTCCTTCCAGAAAGCTGATCCGGATAAAATTAAAATGCTCATGAAGGTGAGAGAGTTAGTCAAATTCTTTGTGATATGAGGCATGTGAATCTAAACACCTGCAGACTTGGGCAAAATTAAGATCTGAATTCAAACACCCCCCCAACCTGCCTATGGAGTGATGGAAAACTTTGCCTCAAACTTTTCCACACTTCTGGTCTTTGAGTTCCCTGAGTTTTCAGTCATTCTTACTGCTCCTAAAAATCACAATTCATAGACTACAGTCTGTGCCAGTCTGATTTGTTCAGACTAATGTGTTTTGCTTTGTTTTGTTTTAATTATAGCTTTATAGCACTGTTGCAGTCTGGGGATTCCTATTATGTTCATTTTCAGTTCTTCAGACCCAGTATTCACAATAGGAAGGGGCCTAGCTCCCAGCCCCAGCTCCGGCAGGATGGGGTTGTCAGGAGAGTACTTCAAGCTCTGCAGAGAATCCTTCCTTCCTCAGGACTCAGTGAATTTTTGTCTCAAAATGCAGGTCTCTGATAAGCAGCTCCCATTCTGCTGTTTTTCCGCCTCACTAACAATTGGCAAGATTGTTTGTTTTCCCACTCCACAATACAACTTCTACAACAGAGGTGCCAGATTGGCTTTGTGGAGGAAAGAGGCCAAACTGCATGTTGGGTTCGTCTGTGTATGTCTTAACATAATTCAGGCTATAAACCTCCCTGCTTGCTCTCACCAATGACAATGTCACTCGGGAGGAGGGGGACTGGGAGGGTTGCAAGAAAAGATCTTTGTGCCTCTGACCTAAGCACACACTGGAGAGCGTGGTATGTCCCCCTGAATTTGAGAGTCCCTATAGTCAGAGGTAATCAGAGGCTAAAGAGCTTTTCATGAGTGGAGCATCAGTAAATTTCTTTCAAATTTAGCAAAACCAACTGGCAAAGCAGTGATGGAGGGGCAACACTAGAGCAATGGCAGTGCATGAGCAAAAAAGTGTGTGTTTCTAGGACACCTCAACTCTAGTGTGACAAATTGTTGTCCCAAACAAAGCCTGCCTCTTCTTCAGTGGGAGCAGTAGGCTCCATAAGTCACTACTGCTGCAACTTTCCAGGAGGCAGCAACAATAGAGTTGGACATGCTAAAATGAAGTTGCTTCATCTGACTGGCTGTAATACGTGACACCGTGTTAGGGTGGAAGAAATGCCCTTGGGAAAACAACAATACTTAGTGAAAGGTGCACAGCGAGGCCAGATCAGCTGCTGTTCTGAGATGTGGCACCAGTGCTGCCTCGTATAGCCCTGGGCTCCTGCCACACACTATCCTCCCTCACTACCCAACCCCAGAACTTCCCACAGTGAGCATTTTCTTCCTGCTGTCCACTGGCCTGAAATAGGTCTCCTCCCTCCCAGTGGGATTAAACCCCATCTTGTTTTCTTGGTGACACACGTGATGTGTGTAGTGAGCAGAAGGCCCCTGTGCCGCCACCACCACCCACCATCTTCACACCAGATAGCCCCTCTCCTGGTGTGCCTGTAATCAGTCACAACTTTTTGTTGTCCCTTGAAGTTTATTACCATTTAAATAGCCTTTCAGCCTGAGACTTCCTGGGGTTTCTGCCTCTGCTGCCTCCTGCTCTGTAAAATTAATGCCAGTAAGATTGTGTCCTCACAGGAAAATGGTAAGGATTTTAAACCCACACAAGTCCTTTTGTGGCCCTTTAGCTTTGAGTGGAGCACTTTCTATGTACTTGACTTGGGGATGCTTAGACAGGAAAGTGTTTATTTCCAACCAAAAATTACAGCACTGAATCCTGCTGTCTGGGGCAATGTTTTTGACTACCGTGGGCAAATTCCATATTTAACTCAGTTTGTGTTTTTAGGCCTTGAAGATTTAAGGGCCAGACTGCAAATGCCTTTAATCAGGAAGCAATTAATTGCACAAATTTCCTCCTTGCAGCCAGTGTAACACTCAACCAGGTAATACTCCTTTGAGGTGATGGCTCATGCCTGTTCACTACTTTTATTATTGTATATCTCTGCTAATTAGTTCCTGTTGGATGGTAGGCCAGGTTGCTACAGGGGGTTCAGATAAAAGGTACAATAAGTTAAGGCAATCTAAAGATAGCTTTAATAAGAAAATCAAATGGTTTGCTTTCCTGTTAAGCTTTTTTTTTTTTTAATTACTATTATTTTTCCTAAAGAAAACTCAAAAGCAGAATTGATGCTTTTAATGGAAATTGGGACCAGGTTCACAAGGGTTATTACAGGTACCTTGCTGTGGAGGACACTCGACTGGAGCTTTTTCCAGAGTACCACGATGCTCACCCAAGACCAATCCCAAGTAGGAAACACCTAGTTTGTCTCTTTTGCACCCACCTTCATGCCCAGGATCACAGTCCTGCTTCTCTCTCAAAAATGGTGCTCAGCTTCACTTGGAGAGCAGTGTATGGGGAGCTGGGGGGATGTTTAGAGCTCACTGACAAGTCCCTGGGGCAGTGCATACATGATGTTTCACAGAACAGGAGGGTAAGGCCTCAGCTGCCCCTCTGCCCCATGTTCAGGTCAGGGCTGTTGCTCCACCTGCTATTGCTGACACCAACCCTGTTCACTCCTTCAAACACAAGCCTCACATCCTTCCTGTCCAACATGATGGTGAGAAAGAACAAACTCCCTCATTATGCTGTTATTATAATTTACTAGCAGAAACCTTCCTCTCTGCACACACAACTCTTCATGTTTGACTGTTATAATTGTATTTTCAGAGTTATAAATAACACATTAGCCTGGTTTATGTGTTCATGCAAATCAGGCTATAAAATGGAAGATGAATTAAATTAACTGTCTCCAGAATTCACATTCCTGTCACTTATTCAATTATTTGATCAACATAATTGCTCAGAGCAAGAGCTAATTGGAAAATGACATGCATTTACCCTCTCTATTGAGGAGGAGAGGCTTATCGGGTATTTTACTGCAGGCATTTTCATTAGTTCCAATATTCTGGAAGAAACAAGGCTTTAAAAAGAGCCAGGCCCAAACATACAAAGCTTGTTTGCTAGCCAGATGCTTTCCCATCCTTAAAATAGCTCCAGTATTTTGCTGTGCAAGGGTTTGAACATGTCTGTACTGCAGCACATACAAGTACCTTGGCACACATATATGGGAGCTGCAAGCCAAGCTTGCCTCCAGGATTCTGCAGCACTAAATGTGTTCTTGCTCTGTATATCTGTATTCATGCTATATGTGTTTGGTTCTTTCTATGACTGGCTCCCATCCCGAGGTGCTGATGCAGAAAATATTGTTTGGCCAAGGCAGAAGAGCCTCTCAGGAGTAGGAAAGGCAGAAAGTGATTTTTTTTGGTGCTCCTGATGTAGAAAAGACTGTAATTCCCCACCTCGCCAGCTCAAGCCCTGCATTAAGGCCACAGTTTGAAACACTGATACCTTTGGAATGATTTTTTTTGTCCCTTGCCTTGCTCAGATGTTCTGGTTAACATTGTGAGTCTGTATGCACACACACACCCTCCCTGACACATCTGTGCACTTTTTTATTAAATTAAAGTCTAAGAAGTGGATGCCAGAGCAGAGGGGTGGGGATGGAAAGAATCAGGAGGTAGGAGACTCAGATCCTAAACTGGTTCCTCTTTCCATTATTAGCTATAGCATTGTTTGGGGTTGGAATATTTAATTTGTTTTAATAAGAGACAAGCAAGCAATTTTCCAGGCTGCATGAAGGGGAGGAAGATCATCTATCAACACCAACAGTTTGCAACCTATTGTCTGCAGGCCCTAAGGGTTATCTGCAGGGGAAGGGAACTAAGGAAATCAACCCCATTGTCAGTTGCCTTAAGTTTGTGACAGATGGACTGCACCTGTGTTGGAAAATACTGGGGTCTGCAAATTAAAATTGGGTAGAACCCAGAGTGTTTTCCTCCTGCTGTTTGTGAGCAGTTCAAGTATCAAGTTTTGCTTGCTTCAAAAAAACCCTCCAAAGTGGTCCATGGAGCATATGAGAGCTGAGAAACATGCTGTGCCAGGTCTCACCCCCTGAGGTCTAGCTGTGCTGCCAGCACTGCACAAGTGGTACAGGAAAACTCCAGAAACGAGTGCAGCAGAGCCTATTTGTACTTATACCAGGACATGCCTGATAGTGGAGGTGTTTTAGGGTAGGAAGCAAAAGTAGCCACTAAGGAAATGAAAAATATCCTCACTATGGGTGGCTTGGGAGCTTTCAGTGTATATGTCCCAGCTGTCCCTGGGGGAAGGAGAGTTATGTCCATTATGTACCTGTAAGCACAATTTTGTCATGCTGCTTAGTGGGGATGCTGTGCAGTTTGGACCTGAGGGGTGCTGAGGACACTGGGGGCCATGCCTGCTCACAGCTCCGCGCTGCAGACGGCTACAGCAAGCTGCAAACAAGGATGATGCCAATATTCAGTGTCCTGTGAGTGACTTCAGCCAGTGGACAACTAGCCTCAGTGTGAAGCTGTGATCTCTAAGCTGTGGCTAATGGAATAAATCAGTAACCTGATGGCACCCCAGGACACCGCACATGGGGCATACAGGATCCTGTTGCCAGCTCTAGGCACAAAGGAAGGAAAACCCCCCTAAAAAAAATAAAACAAAAAAGCAAAGCAACACAAAAAATATTGTGAATATCCTTGTGAATTCAGGCAGCTGTCACGGCCAAACAGGGGATGGACAGGCGTGCAGGGAAGCGGCCGCTACAGGGCGTCGCGGTGGAACTACCAGCAGGGGGCGACCGCAGCTGCTGCAACCCGCATCCCAGCCCCGCATCCTGGGTCGCCGCCGCCCCGCATCCCAGCCCGCGCAACCCGGGATCGCCGCCGCCCCGCATCCCAGCCCCGCAAGGATCGCCACCGCCTCGCGCCCTGCCCAGCCCAGCACCCCTCATCCCCACCTCCCCTGCACCTTTCACAGACCGGCATCCAGCCTCACACGCCGCTCCGCAGTCCTGCCACCCCTCCACTCAGCACCCCTGCGGCCTTGGATCCAGCCCGCACACAGCCCTCCAGCCCAACATTTCCCTTTGCCCACCACCCAGCAGCCTCATATCTCCCCAGGTCGGTGTCCCAGCAGTCCCACAACCAAGCACACCAGAAGACCTACATCCAAATGTCCAGTTCTGTAGCCCTGCAGACACGCAGCCTAGCACCCAGCCCCAAATACCTGCATTTCAGCATCCCCACATCCCAGCATTGTGCAGCCCTACATCCTGGGAGTCCAGCAATCCCTACCACTCATCCTCACAGCCCATCATCTAGTGCCATATCCAAGTTGCACAGCAGCCCCAGAGCTTCACAGCTCTGCAGCTGTGGCAGCCCCACAGCCAGCAGCTCAGCCCCACAGCCTCCTGGCAGCCCCACAGCCAGCAGCTCAGCCCAAGCAGCTCAGCAACCCAGCCTAGGGCACACAGCAAATGCAGCTGGCACAGTGCTGCTGCTTTGAGTCTAGGCTTTTTTATGGTTTCTGCCCTCAGGGGCAATGACAACTGTGACTGTGGAGGTGGTTGTAGTTATACTGGGGCTTTTTTTTCCTGAGGCCCTGCTATGGACTGTATTGGCAGAGGTGCTATTTCATTCCTGGGAGCTGGAAAAACCTCTCTAGAGTTAGCTTGCCACAGCCTGAGGAGGCAGCTTTACAGGCGTGCAGGATGCAGCCAGCGTCACTGGTGCTCTCCTGGTCCCACTGCTCTGCAGGGCTGGAGGCAGGAATGCTACATGAGGAAAGGCAAACAGCAGCTGCCTCTGCAACTTCTTGGCTCCAATGCTACAGATGGTACTTCACTGTGAGCTTTGCCTCCACCAGGAACAGTCCCTCCCTATGCACAGTAACAGATTTTTCTGCAGGATTTTAGCATTAGAAATGAATGCTGGAGAACCTGGTGCTTTTGTTACACTGGGACATTTATCCTGCCAACTGTGAATCAACAGGATTGCATTTCTGCAACTGGAAAAGTCAATAAACATACGCAGAAAAATTATCGTCCCCCAGTCTTTGTCTATTCCTCTCCACTTTGTTGTCCTGCTGAATCTTATGCTAGCAACTCCTTACAGGAGGGTGGCAGCATGTTCAATCTGATGGAGCACTCCTCACCTGGCTGACTTACAGCAGAGCCTTGCTATTATATCTGAAGCCATAGCACAGGTGTGCTGCTCCTCTGTGAACATATTCCAAAGGCTCATGTAGCCTATCTTAGCTGGAATTTCATCCTATTTTTTATTCAAGCACAAAATATCTGGTTATTAGTTTCAGCCAAGAAAAGGTGCTTGAAATGGAAAAAGTCCTTCAAGTCAGAAAATGGGATCAAAAATGAAGCTGTGGAAAACATTTGCAGGCAAACAATAAAAATGCAGTTTGAGTAAATGGAAATATTTAATTTCAGAGCTTTCAAGATTTTTTTTAATTAACACTTAAAAGTAAAATTATTTACATTGTAGAAGACATTTGAATAAAGAAAATATTTTTTTAAATGCCAATAATTAAAAAAAGTGATGCTTTGATATTCATAACCTTTTCCTTATTACTTTTATTTGAGAAATGTACTGGGCATGTTTTCTTTTGTAACTCTCACAAGAAAAACAATAGCTTTGAGGGATCAGTATTTTTGAATTAGAAAACATTTTGCTGAAAACTCCTATCTGGAAAAAAGCTGGTAATAGTTAGTGTGAAAAGTCTAATAGGAACCCTTTAGTTCCAGATGTGTTGTTCTGCTTCCCCTGGTATGACAGAGGTACTTAAAATTAAAGTTCAAAGATGCCGCGCCGGTGGAAATAACTACGTATTTCCTGACATTTGTGCCTGTCAGCACAAGGGTGGTTAGACTGCTATTTATAAATCTGATCTTAATTCATTGTCATACCAAAGGGAGCAGTCAAAACCCCAGAAAGAAATCAGGGCCAGTGCACCAGAGGCTTTTTCCTAACTTATTTCTGGCTATGTTGTATTCGGAAGAAAGATACACACAGCAAACACAGTCCAATCCCAGCCCTCCTCTGCTGAGTCAGAGTCAGCTTCTTAGGTCTTACGGATCTCAAGTCATAAAGGCAGGATGGTCTTGTGGCTTAGGATATGGACTCTGAGTCAGAATAGTTTATTCATGAAAGAAAAATGCTCCTTTCGTTTATTAGCACATTATTCTCTAACTAGCCTAAGCAAATTGCCACTAGAAAGTTTCAGCTGTAGGCATTTTAAAGATGAATAGGGTAAAAAAAGGGAAGCCCAATCGACATTTGATCATTTCTGCAGCAACATTGCATTTATCCATAACTAGCTGTCCTGGTAGGAAAAGGACAAGCACCAGGGTAAATACCAGAAATATTCAGATTTGTGGTTCAGTCTAGCTAAAGTCCTGTTGATTAAGCTGGGAATGTTGATTAAAGACCTTAAGCTGTGACCCCCAGCAATTCAGTCAGGTTACTCCTGCTGCTCAGCAAGGCTTGAGTTAAATTAGAAAGCAGGATAGAGCGTCAGTGAGTTTATCAGCTCTGAGCAGTGTGTTTCTATGCAGATAACCTGCAAGTACCTCTCTGCTCAGCCCCGGAGTCTTATGGGGGATTCAATAGCTTGTCTGTCTGCTGGTGGGAGATACTAGAGTCCTTCAAGAAAAAAACCCTAAAAACTAATCCTGCTTTGCACCAATCCTCTGGAAATCAGTCATTCAGTCCATATAGTTAATGATCAGTTGGTGGGTTAATAGCCAAACTTGAAGTCAAGGGTTATTAAAGCTTAAAAAAAAATTAACCACTCAGTGGCTGTTGTTAAAGAAAATACTCAGTTATTTTTTGATGGTTACTTCTCCCTCTAGGCTGCCATGGAGACTGACAAGGGATATTTTAACCTGTCAAGGCAATAGCACCATAGCAACAAAACCCTGAGAAGCCCATCAGTTTGGTGTACAGGACCTGTTTTGCATACTGGGCCTTTGATCTTTAAGAGTATTTAGCACTGCCAATTTTTTATGAGTGTAGTGAAGAGGTGAAATAGGTGCCTTGTTTAAGTAGGACAATTTATTATTGTCACTCAGCTTTTGAAGGACAAGCCATGCAGAAGAGCTCAAGTCAGGGGAGAGAGGCCTTGAACGCAAGAACATTTACGCTTCGGTTAACAGGGAAGCAAGCTGCATGGGGGTTTGCAGAATCCAGTTCTCATTGCCTCAGAAAAAAATGATGTTTTTATTTCTGCACTTTCAATTTGTGTTTTCTCAGTTTACTGACAAAAGAAATTTTAATTATTTGAACTACAGAAGCTAAAGGTAAAGATAGGGCTTTTCCTTTCTTCTTCGTACTACGGCAACAAGATTGTTGGGCAAACTTAGAATGTGTAACCTGTGGTGCCACTAGCTGCCACAGACAGTAGAAGGAATTCAGACCAATTTTGAGGGTATCAGCTGAGTCCATCACTCCAGCAGGGAAGGAAAGAGGAATCACTGCAAATGAAGCAGAGACTTTTCCAGTGAGACCAGAGATGGTGTGATGTAGGTAAATGATATAACATAGCTAAGAACAACTGCTTCCAAACACAAAACTGTAAGAGGTAAGAGTCATTTCTTGTTTCTGTGATCTTTCTCTGATAGAAAGCAATCTATAATCCAGGACAGACAGCACTTAACAGCATCTAGCTGTATATCTGAGAGGTCTTGACAATGTCTTTTTGCAGGCTTTTGAGCAGCAGCCGGTAGCATGAGATGGGCCGGGCTCTGCTCAGAACCCAACACCCGTTTGTGCCTCACCCACAGAGATGAACAGTCCTTTGGGGCAGTGCCTGGCACTGGGCAGCTGGTCACACTCACACAGAGAAAGGACCCAAAACAGTTCCCATGAGGTTACCCCATCCTATGGTTTTCAGGCTGCACTTCAAAGACACGCCAATGATTCATAGGACAAGAGGAGGTGGTCAGTGAAGTGAATGGAGAAAAAGTGAATGGAACAGGTGCATCTGCTTCCACACATATAAACAAATACTACAGTAAGAGAGCAAGAACACTGAAATGTATCCTAGCCTTTGTCTAGTTTCCTTTCTGTTGTCAGTGAAAATCACCATGGAGCCATAGCACTTGACAGTGTTTGGATTGTTTTCCAAAAGTATGGTTGGAAGAGCACTGTCAGGAAACACCACTGCACCCCAGCTGTCCCTAACCATTCCTGACAGCCCTGGGTGTCTTACCGTTCTGGAGATGCTTCAGTCCCTGGAGGCAACTGCAATATGCAATTGTCCACAACATTAGAAAGTTTGTCTTGCCATCTGTACTGAGCTTTCCGTGCTGCAGTTTGAGCTCGTTATGTCTTTCTTTATTTACCTCTACATGCCGTGGAGAACAGATTATTCCCTTTCTCTTTGATGTGGCAAAACCAAACAGCGTTCAGCTCCCTGTTGTTCATACAGCCCTCTCGTGGGGATGGCCTATCCTTCCCCGGCCTTGCTGCCTGCTAGTGAGCCAGAGATGAGCAATGTACCCCAGAGCAGCCCAGGAGCAGCACTCTCCTCAGCTTTCCTTTTCTGTTGCCTTGGTTTTATTTAGTGCTGTCTTCCCAACCTTAATCACTTGCTGGATGTGCCTCTAGTTCTGAGTTCTTTTCCAGCGTTGATTCCTACCCCTTAGCTGTGTTACCCCCTTAGGAGCAGCCAAAGCACATTCCTGTATCCTCTGCACCTGCTTTGCTCCTTTGCTGCCCTTCAGGAGGGCTTCCCTTCCTTCACAAAAGACAGCTCTCAAACCTGTGGGGACTGCACCACACACACACATACACACATGCAACCAGCTCTACGTTAACCAAGACTCAAGATAACCCAAAACATGAGAACAACAACAACAAAAAAGAGCCCTGTGTATAGTCAGTACCTGGAGCTAAACAGAGATATCCTACCCCTCATATTTTTTTTGTTAATTGTTGCTCTGGACATTTTTGTTTTATCAGATGGAAAAGGACACTCGAGACCTAACTAATTTGTCTCTTGTCAATGGCTCTTTGTTTTCTTTTAGTTTTTTTCCCCCTTATTTTTTCCCTGGCCCTATAATCATTTCTTTGTTCCCTTCAGTAAGCTGGTCACTCAGAGCATTACATCCCTGTCTTAAACCTGGCTGTATTATGTTCATAACAGCAACAGCAGCATCTGCTGGGATAGCAGTGATGCACGACCATCAAGGCTCCCTTTGCTAGGCACTGCACAAAAAAAAATCTCACTGTCTGAATCAACCCAGCTCCACAGTGACCAGGACAAATGACATGGAACCCCAGACGAGAAAGCACCTTTTTATTTTGAAACCAATAAAACACTTTGGACTTTTCTCTCACAGGCACTTTATTGCCCTTGCTGATGGCAAGCTCTCTGTCTATGCGAGTGTAAGCTAGCAGCAAGGTACTAATAAATTAATAAAGTAGAGGCAGGGCACAGGCCCAGGCAGTTGCCCATGCAATTAAATGGTTGGCATTGCCCTTGCATGAGTTTGCTGCCAATGCCCAGGCATATTTCAGGAGCTAGTGTGGTTCTCTGCAGGTGGTTTGGGCACAGCTCTCCTGCTCTGGGGGGACAGGAGCACATCCCTTTGGGGATGGCTGGGCATGCCAATGGGTCTTGGGGGTGGAAAACATTCCTTGGCCTCTCCTACTAATTTGTGTGGCCGTAGACTTGGTGTCTCAGCACTGCACAGTTTATAATGGATTTACTCATCGCAGCATCCCTGTAAAGCAGGGAAGTGCTGATAAGCCCCTGGGTCTGAGAGGAAAAACAAACTCATGGAAATGCTGAAAGGGCTACATGGCTCCAGAGAAGTCTTCAAGTCCCACAGCCCTCTTGTTTCTCAACCTCCTTCCCCAGCCCCAAGTCTTGAAGCCCCTCAGGCGGGTGAGGATGAGCCAGCCACGAAGATGTGCCCCCAATCTGGTGGGGATGCTGAGCTGCCCAGGACCACATGGAGCGAGACAGGGGCCACCTCCTTTGAGCTCTGCAGCTGAGAGGAAACCCAGCCTGCTGAGGCTGGGCAGCTTAAAGCATGAACTGGGCAAGCCTGGTCCAGACAACAGGATCAGGCTTGCACTTAACTTGACCCTTAGTGACTTGCAGAAGCTTAGGTAGGAACGTGGCTCCTCCACCCCATACGCTTTGACTTACTGGGATGTACAATGCAGGGTCTCTCAGAGGCCACATGTCAAATCCATATGGATGGTTTGTGCAGAGGAAATTGGTGGGGTCGGGAAGAGTGGAAGGTACTCGGTGCTTTACAGATACATTGCCTGAAGTTCCCCTGCTGAGAAAAACAGAAAGCAGTTCAGCATCATGCATTTTCCATTTTCCATTTTTTCCATTCATTTTCCCCATACCTGTGTTCTGAGGGAGATGATCAGTCATTCAGCTACTGGGTCATCTGTCTCCGTTACTAGATCACGTCCATCACTATGGTGTCAGGGACTGCAAATACAGAGAATCTGTGTTCATTAATTATGGCATTATATGAAAATACACTGTTTTATCGACAGTCATATTTTGAGCAATACCATTATTTTGATACCTGAACAGTCACAACTGGTCCTTTTGACAGAGTGCCCTCAGATTTCCAGGGCTAGTTCCCAGGCACAAGGTTATAGTCCCTGCAGAGCCATGCACACAGGGGGCAAGGATTTGTGGCAGGAGAAGGGAAGTGTTGGGAGCCACAGCTCCCCACCAGCACGTGATGGGTGGCCCTGCCCCAAGACACCCAGATGCAGTGAGCCCACCTCCGGCCATAACCCAGTGAAGAGCTTTACTCTGCCCAGAGGCCAGCTGGAGGCTTCATAGGGTGGATGGATCCAGAAGCCATATGGATCCAGGCTGTGAAGCTTCAGCTGTATTTATCCGAGACTGCTTTTCTTCTCAGCTCACCTCTTACTGACATCTGCACACCTCCTGTGTGGTGGAAATATTTGTGCCTTTCCCTGCTCCAGGGTGCTGACAGCAGAGGTGCAGTGAGGGCTCATTACCTGCTCAGGGTGGTGCTGCAAAAGTAGGAGGAGGAGGCGAAACCTACTCATGGCCTTACCTTAATTATTATTATTCTCCTTGCTGAGTCTTCTCCTTACTCACTACTGCCTCTGATAGGAAAGGTGCTTTTCTTGCATACAATTGCTTAAAAGCAAAAGGAAAACTCAGCAAAATGAAAAGCACCATCACCACCACAAAAAAAAAAAAATCCACACAAGAAACCTGGGCCTCATTCACTCTTCTGTTAATTAGCCTTAAAGAAAACAATAAAATGAGAAAGCAAAGAAAAAGCCTAGGAAGGTAATTGGGCTGGGCTGCTGAAGAAGCAAGAACTGTGGGAAACAGGGAGATGGCTGCAGACAGCATCACCTTACAGAAATCCCACATTTCTGAGGTCTGCCTCTCCCATGAGTCCTGTTTTGCAGCAAATCAGAGTAGACGGGGTAATTATGACAGCTGTGCTTTAGACTGGTTTAAGAAGTCGTATTTTCCTGACTGCCTTTGGAGCACAACAGCAGTGGCAGGCAGATTCCTGCCAGCGCAGCTTGGCTAAATCTACCAAAACAAGCAACCGACTAGCCTTCTGGAAGAACTTGCTGGGTTATTTTTGATAGGTGTTTGTTTTCAATGACAAGTTTCCGAGGAAAACAGTAGCATTTTAAAATCTACATGTACAGCCAAGAAAGCTTGTGGACTTTTCCCTCCTTCTTTCCAGCAAATACTTTGCTGCCTCTTTTACAATGCCACTTCTAATGACGTAAAGTGAAGATAAGAATTGTTTGCCCACACTGCCTTGCTCAGTTTTCCATGTGTAGCTTCTGGCTGATTTGCCATGTGCCCCTGCTGAGGTCTCAATCCATTTTCAACTGAAAGCGTCTGGGTTCTTGCTTGGCTTATCATGCCGACACAGCTGGCAACCTATTAATCTCCTGTTCCCAATGCCTTTACTTCAGTGGGAAAGCTCTGGTGCTTTTTAGTGGTTTGTATTTGCAGCTAACAGAGGCTGGTGCTCAAAGCCTCTAGGACACTTCTCCACAAAAACCCCTCTCCTGAACTACTGGAGCTGGAAGCGGTTCAGCATTTTTGTCCTTCTTGCTCTAACACTCTCTGTCAAAGATATGGAGATCCATAAAGTAGCTGGAGAAGCAGGTTCAAAGACAGGATCACATTATCTACCAGTAATGCTTTACCCTCATTCACATCTTTAGTCTAAGGACTTCAAGACACCTACAAAGCACTTTCTCAAACACTGATAAATTGAGGCTCAGTTTTCACTCAGTAGATTTGTTTCCCTGTTGAGCTATGTTTTTAGGTACATGAATTCTGTCAGCTCCCTCCCCAGCTAAGAGAGGACACTAGTCTGTCAAGGTTATCCAGCAAAGGAGCCCTTGGAATCTCATTCTGCTTAGAAAACTGTTTTAAAGTAGCCTGGTGAAAACATTGCTGTGTGATGGTAAAACATTGCCTTTTAGAGCCATGCTGGTGTAACTGTTCTGGCAACTCTTTCTTTCAAAATCCAGCTCAAATGCACTAGAATGGCAATTTCCTGAGCCCGGCCTTGTATGCTAGTGAAGGACTCCCAAGTAGAGACAGGATGCCTGAAAGGGAAAAAATCTCTTATATTGTGGCTGGCTTCTGATTTATGTATAACTATTATGGCTGAAAAGTGCTGTCCTGAAAACCTGGGAATAGAAGGTTTTCATCCTGTCCCTGAAAAGACAAACATAATGCCTGTGTAACTGCTTTCCAGTATCCCAAACCAGCTCACAGTTCGCTACCAAAGAAGATTTCTGGTGGGGTGGAGCACAGCATGCTGAGAAGTGCCTGCTCCTCCCCAGCTGCGGCTGCCTGCACCACGGAGGTGGGATTGACTCGGCACTGAGCTGGCCCAGCTAAGCTGGGGATCAGGGAGGCACCCTGGAGCCCCCATGTACAACCACCTGAGCCAGGATGGTGCTGATTTGGATGCAGCATTTGCTCTGCACTAAGTGAATCATGGTCTTTGGTTTCCTGCTTTTGTGTTACCATGCAGCACAGAAAAAGCCATGGCTTTCCCTCTTTGCTAAGCTGCCCCGGAGTCAGCTGTGGATGCTTTCCTGGGATGCCTGCCCTCAAAGTCGGGCAGTTATCACAGAAGAACAGACTGTTCACTTTCAATAAAACTGACACTTGCACTGGCTTGTTCCAAGCCTTTTAATCCTCACCAAGGAGATCCTAGCAACTGCTTTCAGAAGAGATCTTTAAATGTGGAAAGGGAAAAGGCTTTTCAGCAGCGGCCATGGGGTTCTTCCAAGTTTGATACCAAGAGGAAGTGTCTGGCTCCAAAAGAGATAACACTAGGACCAATTGTTGTTTTTCAGCCTTAAAGAATAACCAGCTAAAAATGCATGGGACAAACTGTCCACAAAAGCAGATCAGCACAGATCTATTGGCTAGGCCAAGTTTCACTGGGGAGGCTAGATGCAGAAGCAAGCATGAGAGCATTGCTGGCAGAGCAGACAGGTCTCTCTGTTAACCTCACCTCCCAGCACTGTTAACAAAAGTGAAGTCTCCCACTAGGAAGCTGGGCTCATGAAACTTGGGCTCATGCAAGGGTGTGGATGGCCCAGTTTGCAGTGCCTCTGGGGACATCCCCCAGTGGTGGGGAAGTGGTAGATTTCTCCAGGGAGTACTAAGTACTGAATTCTGTTCAGCCTGGGTAGTGATTGTTTCAGCCCAATCTGGGCATATTTTACAAGCACCTTGAGAAATCGCTTCAGCATAACGAAGCTGTTCAGTGTCCTGGTTCTTTGTTCTTAGGGGACACACAGACTGTCTGCCCTCTTGCATTCCCTTTTCTCTTGCAATATTTGCATTTGCATTTAAGACGTGCAAAGCCTGTCTCCTTCCACCTACCTCACTGCTCACTGTCTCCCTCTGTGCCCCATCAGCCTGGGTTGTAGCAGCCTCTTTCTAGTTCTCCAGCCTGGTCTGATCACATTACCCTCTGTCACAACTCATTTGCAAACAGGGACCTTATTCTTAAATACATCCTTGCATCCCAAATGCAAAGAGATATCTTCACATTTAGGTTATCAATATTTAAAAGCGTCAGCAATTTTAGGCCTGGTCCAGACACAACTTCTGCATCTCCTATTGTGCAGCTGGAGTTCCCCAGCACCTCCCAGCCCTCTCTCTGCAGACTTAGGAAGACAGATCCCTTATATCCGTCATGCCATAAGGATGTAGATTTTGGGGAAGAAACCCCAGGTCTGGCAGGCTGCTCTGGAACCTGACTCCCATTTGAAGCAGTCCTGAGGCCTGAAACTCTGGCAAGGTGAGGGGTTCAGGTATAGCATGCTGGTGGGGTACAAAGAACGGGGTGATGAATTTTAGTGCACACAGATTGCTGGGGTTCATCTGCATTCAAAGAGACTCTGGGTGTTTAACCAGTATGAAAACAAAACAGATGCCTCGCATAACCTTGAAAAGAAAACTGATAAAGGTCTTTTAGCTTGTCTAAAAAAGAAAATGTCTCCTGTACAAAAAATACCTCCAAGATACAAACAACTTCAGGAATATAGACTACATCGCTGAAGATGTAGGAGTGTATATGGGAGATGGTGGACTGCAGTCTAGGCTTGGGCATGAAGGCCATAGAGATCTGCCTGTAGGGTCACATGAAGATGCCCATAAATGTAGGTCACCTCAGTTCCAGCATGGAGTAAAGAGAGCATTCATATCAGGGATAAGAGCAGGGTTGAAGCAGGAATCAGCAGAGGCAGCCGGCAGGGTTTCTTCCCAGGAGTGCTACAACTGTCAGGAAGGCTGTGGCAGAAAAATTACTCACTAGTCTGCTTTAACAGGGAGGGGGATGCATAGCAGAAATGAAAGGTTTTCCCAGCTGCTGGAAAGAGCCCCTAGAGAACAGAAGCATGGCAGACTAGGATTTTGACAGCTGTTTTGGGAGTCCACCCGAGGAACCGGTAGGGTTATGGCAGCTAGGAAAACTAGTGAGGGAATTCACACATGGACTGATAGGTGGTCTGGTAAAGAGCACCTGTGCTGCAGAAACCATGTCAGTTTTGAGTGTTAGCTGCTCTGCTCCAGCTCCTCAGTGATGTGTGTCCAAACTGAGCTGTTGTTTCTCTTCTCAGCTCTCTCCTCTGTCACTCACCAGTCCCACCAGTGTGCAGCACATTGTCCAAGCATGTTTTCTTCTCCTCCCATTTAGTCCTTGGATTTCCTCCCTCTCTCCAGATTGTGTGTAAACTGGGATTCCTGTGGCAAAAATAGCATGGCAGGTTATAAATCCTAGTGAAAAGAAGAGCGATGAAATGCAATATATCACAGGGCAGGGGCAGTTCCTTCATTCAGGTGTTTGGCAAAACTGGTAACTTTGTTATTTTTCTTACCAAGACATTTATCTGTCACCACCTAGATCTTACCCAGTGTGTCTCCAGCGGTGCCCAGGCGACCTGCTGGGGTGACTGCTTAGTCTCTGCTCAGAGACAGCAGGGAAAGCCCTCTGAAGAGCTCCCACCTCTGGTGCACTCAGGGAGATGTGGGGCAGCCCTAGGGCAGTGAGGGGCTTACAGGACAAGCTGGCAAATTGGTGACTGTCACACAAAATCAGGACATGCAGTGCTTTTCAGCACCTGACCTCAGATCAGCCAAAAAGGATTTTGAAAGCAAGATAAAGGACTCACCTCCCACTGTGGTTTCCCTGCAGAGGCGCCGCAGATAGAGGTTAGAGTTAATTTGTTTTCTGAATTAAATAGAAATTTGGGAGGCTTGAAGCAATTGTTCTTTGTTTTGGCTTTGTAGCATTTCCCCCATGTTTATCTCAACAATTGGTTTTGCCTGTGAGTTTTTGGTAGCCTCTTCTCAATCAGAACTTAGCTGGTAGGGTGGCAAGAATTTATTGTGTTAGTAATGTGTGCAACTTACTGATCCCTTTCCCCAGGTAGTGAAAACGTCCCTGAAATCAATACTTTGGGCATGAAAATGTTATTAAAAAAAGCCTTGGCAAAAATATAATTTTTTAAAACTACAAATCAAATATATAATAAAAGTAGCAGTATCTTGTAGTTCTCTAGCCCTTTCCCCTCATATTTCTCAAAGAACAGTCTCAAAGGCACTTCTCTAGAGACAGAGCACTCCTTTATATAAATTGCCCTTTCCTTCCCAGGTTGCTGTCCTTTCCTTGCTCTCTCTCTTTCTCCCTCCCTCACTCCCTCCCTTCCTCTCTCCTTCCCTTTTCTTCCCCTTTCTTTTCTCACCACCTTGCATGCCACTGACCCACTCCACCAAGTCACCAGGATCCTGCTTTTTGGAAAATGAAGGGGTGCATTAGAGATGGGTTTTTTCCCAGACCTCAGGGTTGCTCTTTTCAATAAAGAACAGGATCTTGGTGACAGCCGTACAGAGCAGCCATACCCTTCCCTGGAACAAGCAGCAGTGCATCATGTCATGCTCAGAGAGTGCTGCCTCACTCCCTCGCCTCTCTCTGTGTCAAGCTTTTCAAGTTTCTGCAAGAAAAGAAAAAAAAGAAAGCTTTCATTCTACAAGGCCAGTATCTAGTTCATAGTTTTTATATCACAGGGAAAAAGATAAGCCAGGGTATAACAATGACCTAGTTCACATCCTGATAAAACAATTTCCTCTCTCTGTAATTTTTCTTGAAGAATAATATTTGACTAACACGAGCACGTAGGATAGAGGAAGAGCGTTTCTGGGAACTGGCTGATAATGAGTCAAATTCAGCCCTGAGACAGACAACTGCCACCCTGTTGACCCATGTGGAGTTAAGCCTGTTTATCCCCCAGATTAGAGCTCTGAAAACAATTGGGTTCAAACCTGTAAGATGTGTGCATGTGATAGGGTTGAGGCTGAAAGCTCAGAAGCAGGGGCTATCTGTTACAGCATCCCTCCATCAATGCACCCTCAGCCCACCGCCACCGCAGCTGCCTGGGAGCTGCTCTGACTTGCTGCTGTGGTGCAAACGGGCCCCCCCTTTGCAAAACAACTGTTTAGCTCATCCTTTTACACAAAAGGCTACAGTACTGGGTAGGGTACATTATAGTATAGGGCAACCATGCAGCTCTGAATCCACTCACATCCCCCCTCCCCAAGCACAGAAACAATGCAGACTGTTATGGCTCACTTGCTGGAGCCTACTTAGCTCAATGCATTGGCTGTATTTGTCTGCTGAAAGTGTTTAAAAATGTACATGTGGCATTTTTTGCTTGCAGCATTGCATGAAGGGTTTTCTCACATCATCTTTCGATGCTGTTCAAATGGATTGCCACCCAGTGCATATCGCCCGCCCTCTCATCTCCCACCTACAGGATTTTTCCTTGTGGTTTGCAACTTTTCTCTTAAGGAGTTCTCATACAGGACACGAATTTGCCATTTGCCACTGCAGATAAGAGGTGACATTGCTCGGACATCCTTGTGCCCTCAGTTGTGCCATATTCCAGCTTGGTGTCAGAGATTGCAGAATGCCTGCTCACCTTCTCTTCAGCAAAAATAGACAAAACAGACCAAGGGGGCAAAAATCCATCAGCTGCCATGACTTCAGCAAGACACACTGCCCAAGATGGCCAAAGCCAACTAGTAAACAGTATTTACTGTACTTACTGTCAACGTATTTACTGTGTGCTGACTTCCAGCATCATATGCTATTCCACAGTACTAACAAGGTACATGATTTATGGGATGCTGCTGAGAGCAAAATGTAGTTAAAATGTAATTATGGTACTCCTTTTATTTCTTTCCTTGAATAAATGTGGTATGAATCTTGTCTGGTCTATTGACTTTTCTCCAGTTTCTTGTTCCCCGAGGTGGAAGGTTCCCCTGGATTTCTAGAGATGGAAAACTACCAACTGCTGGGCTCTGACAGGAGAAGGGTAACAAGCATTTTGGCACAGAGATGGAGACCCCTTTTGACAGCTCTGCTCCTCAGGCACAACGGGCCTTTCTATCAAAGCTCATGTGTGCAGGAGACAACTTTCTTGGGTACTGCTCAGGGGAAACTACAGCCTTAAAAGCTGTACCTCTTCCCATTGTATGTGTCTTTTGTTAGCATTGCCTTCTCTTGCATAGAGATGCACCTATATATACACTTAGAACCACGCAGAATAAAAATGAGATACTGGGCTGCAAATGTGGTTCTGCCCTCTGCACAGAGCAGTAGGGAGGAAATGCACCAGAAGTAACAGCATCCAGCCTCCATGCTCGATGCAGTTCCCCAGAAATGACTGAAGATGCTGTTCCTTGTCTTGTGCAGATCCTCGCTACCTTTGGAGTTTCACTGAAAAGTGATTTGTTTTCAATTCAGAAGAAGGGATACAAGTCTGTGCAATTTATCCATTTTCCTTTTGCCTCCATTGAAGGAAAAGAAGGACCTGTAACAATTTGTGGTACAGGGACTGGTACCTGATTTTGGTCAGGAATGTGATTGTCACCCGTACCACTCTTATACTAAGCTGTGCGGTTCACTGTTGAAACAACATCACTGCTCAAGCTGTTACCACACTACAGGTAGCTCTGAGCTCCCTCACCATTTCAGCAGAGCAGCCACGCAGAGTCTTCTCATGCCTCTGAGTGGAACACCTGCTGGGCTGAAGGTGCCCAATCCTGAATTAAACACTGTAATTTTGCAGCCAGGTGGCTGTGGAGCACACTTGCCTTTAAGGCTCTGCTGTGGAGGGAGGAGCCCCAAGAACAAGCGTGGTAATAGGCTGCCCTGGTGGTAACCTTTCAAACAGCTGCAGCTGTTTGCAAAGTGAACCTGCATCTGCACACATAATGTTTTTCCCTTTTCCAACAAGAATAAGCCATATTAGCATTATCCTGGCACAACTGCATCCATACTCTGGGGAGTTAGCTGCAATAGTATTGTTAAAGCAATTCAGCTTTTCTAAGTAGACAAGCTATAATTACACTAAATTAAAATAGAATGCTTTTGTTCTAACCTCAGCATCCCCACGAGGACTTGCACCAAAATAACCAAAGGTACAAATTAAGCCATTTCTGTCATTTTAGTACATGCCTGAGCACAGGCAGGCTCCCATTCCAATCCTTCTACCTGTCACTCCTGGCAGAGCTCAGCTGCCTGGGTGATCTCCTCACAGGCTTCATCACAGAGGGATAAAAGTATGAAAGCACCCAATGGGGAAACGCTTCTTGGTTGTAGCTGGGTGCCCTGTGATGACTCTCTGGGGCTAATGTCATATGTGGTAGCACTATCTTTGTTAATTTAGGGGAACATAATTCTGCAGGACTGTGGTGTCCCACAAGAAGGTCAATGGCCCCTATGGGTCTTGAGCATGAGGGTCACACTGAGCCCCTATGCTCTGCTGGCTGCTCCATCCTTGCCTCGCTGTGCTCCTTGCAGGAAGTGGGTGCTGCCACCCTGGTGCAGGGCTGCAGGGCGATGTTCCTTCCCCACACCTTCAACTGCATGCACAGAGCATCCAACCTGGGGTCTTCCCAGCTGCCTTCAGCCACGGAGGTCCTTGGGTCTGGCCCTGCTTTGGAATGCCCAAAATGTCTAAGTGCACAAGTGCCACAACCCTATGGAGAGCCACAGTGACACTTCCTGTGGAAGAAGCCAGGGCACTTAGGAAAACAAGGTCAGCTGTACAGAGTGATTATTTGCATGAGGCATGAGCCTTTGCAGGGCCTTCAGTGGTCCGACCACACAGAGCTTCAGGTTTTACTGAAGGTGGAAGATGACATCCCAACAGGCCTGACACTTCCAGCTCCTCCAGTTACCCTGAGACAGACAGATGGGGCATGATGGGCAGATGTAGCACGTGCTGCAGTACTAAACCATCTGCCTCACATGGGTTTCCATTTCAGTGAGGGAAATAGTAGGGCGCACCGGGAACTCAGATGCTGAAAATGGTAAACTGAAATCCCGACTCTGCCACAGATTTATCAGCACTAATTTGGGTAAGTTGTCTCAGATACCTGCACTCGATGCCTGCCAAGTGAGGTATCCCAGATACTCCAGGCGTCACGGTTCATGTTTGTACAGTGCTGCTAAGGTCCCCAGAAGAAATGTGTTAATAACGTTCCCAATTTAGGGCAGAGGCAAGCCATTCACCAGCCTTTCATTTCCAGCGTTCAACTGCAAATCCTTCCACGGCCAACTAATTTCAACGGTGCTAAAAATGAAGTGCCCCCTTTCCCACGGCACATGGCCCAGTTTATCCTTCCCCAAGGCTGCCAGTGGGAGCTCACTGAGCAAACACACCGAGAGCACGCCACCGCAACTTGACGGCTCTCCTGCCCTGCTAAGTGCGATCCGCTCCGCCCCTCCGGGAGAGGGGCACAGG